TATATATATATATATATTTATATATATTCATACATGACAACCGAGTTAAATTAAAGTCTCTTTATTTAAAAAAAACTCAATTTGTCTTGTTTTTCTGAATTTTTTATCGCTATTATGATTATGACCACGTCATAGCAATTCATCAATATATCAATAAAGAAATTTTCTCTCTCTCTCTCTCTCATTGATTAATAATTAATTCTAAATATGTAAAGTAATTTTTTTAACATTTTAGTGATTTTTGATGGCTGTCTCGCGCGGCCGAATTTAACAAAAAATGCATTATACCTCAAGTCACCTAACTATCCTGAATAACCTTCATCTATGGCATATATATAGCGCCGAGACACTCATGTTTCCAGATAAGCTTCGTCAGCTCACATGGATTAGTGTAAATCAGTGATCATCAATCTTGATGTGTATTTACCATAAAGTTATTCTTTAATACATAAATCTTTAAAAATTGTCATTTCTTAATTTGTTTTGATATTTGGAAAATGTTTTTCGATATTTGGAAAGTCTTTGTTTTTGTAGTTTCAACAACATATGTTATAGCGGAAATACGTAAGTAAATAAGAAATACATTCTCTTTCTAGTTTTCAACATTATAAATTTTATAAATTTACGATCTCTTCTACGTTATACATTAAATGAAGCTTATTATATTATGAATGCTTTTTATATTTACATTTATTTTTGCTACTTATGTATACTGTTAGAAATGTCGTAATGAATAAATAACACGTAATGGAAGTTTGTGATCATGAAGTAGCTGAAAAATTATGAATGATTTAACTGTTTAACTGAAAATTAAATTACATTAATCTTAAATTTAATAGACGTGTGCATTAAATTACATGTAATTTTATATAAATTTTTAGAAGTACATTAAATTTCGTAAAATTTTATGAAAAATGCATTAAATTTCGTGTACATTTCATACAACATATATTTTTAATTAAAGATACGTTAAATTTAACATAATGTTATAGAATTATATAAAGTCAATGTGTGTAATTTAAAAGTAGTAGTGTGATTTTAATTTCATAATATTTTTAACAGTGTATAGGTATAAATTAGTTTAAAATCTTCGGAAACGTCAAATTTTTCCATAGGTTGACTCCGATATATACGCCGCACCTATCAAAAACTTAATTTATTAAATATTATTTACTATGTTTAAAGTATATTTACTATTGTATGTTAAAGTAAACGAACTATATCAGTAAAAACTTTGTACTGCTTATTACTATGAAAAAAATATTACAAATCCGAAATATTTATTTTTCATATTAAAAAAATTAACTTTTTGAAACCCTTGCATTTTTGCCGTATATCCCATAGAAGTGGGGTATATGGCTACTGGTAGGGGGAGGGAGTTATGTACAGATAAAAAAAAATTTACAAATACTGCATACAAATAAGACGTAAAATAATACAATATCTTATAAAATGTATTTATAAAGTTTTATTAAAGAATAAAAAAATAATAAATATTTATATGAAATAATATACATATAATAATTACAATCTTCCTGCATATATTACAAGTGTTATGACAGAGGTATTTCATATAAAACAGGTGGAATATACAAGACCACCAGGTGAAATATATACATAAGACCACCAGGTGGGATATATAAGACCACAAACTAAACAAAGAATACGAAAGCAAAGCACTTATATTTTGTTATACAACATGCTTTATTATTCTACTATACATCATGAAATAATCACTAAGTCTTTTTTACGGCCTACAGTAATTATTTTATGTAGATTATAATTTATGATGGCGTTACTTATTACAGTGACAAATCGATTCAACTCACAATAATTTTATTAATATTAACAGTAAGAAGTTGAAATCATAACACAATACTAATATAATATAAAGGCATGCAGCAGAATAGTTGCGGGAAAATTATCCTCATTTTTTTTATTTTTTCTGACTTCTGCGGCGTAAATTCCAGCGCGGCGTATTTGCCGGAGTTATCCTAAATATATTTTAAGTAAACTCAAATGAAAGTATGTTAAAATGAATTGCTAAATTTATAACTTGCTAAAACTTATAAAATTTAAAACGACGCTTTGTTTAAAATTCTAAATCTATTATCAACGTATAAATCTTTCGTATAAGCAGTTTAATTTAAATTGCAAGTTATAGAAAATGATTTATATACTTTATAGCTTCCTACATTCGTGCCTGTGGTCGCAAGGATTCTAACTACGATCAATGCGTTGCAGAAAACATAGAAAATATAAAAGATAAGCTATGCACAGGATTATCAGAATTTAACATTCCACCAAATGAGCCACTGATAGTTAATAAAACAGTTATTTTTGACACAAATGATGTTAAACTTTATCTTAAAAATATGAATCTATACGGATTTTGTGATCTTGTTGTAAATTCCGTTCAAACAAACCCTGAAAGACTCCACTTCGATATTGACGTCTTATTTCGGCAGCTTTACCTGAACGCTACGTATGATTTTGGTATACGTTTGCTAGTGCCTGTTGCAAATAAGGGACCGGTTGAGGCTCGTATAGGTAAAATAATCCATCTTACTTTAGAATAAAAAGAAAATTTGGAGAGAAAGCAATTTTTTTAGGACCAAAAATCTAAGTAAGTGTTATTTTACATTATGAAATTATTATAATATAATCTTTTCTGCAGAAAACGTAAGAATGAAGACAGGCATGGATTTAAAAACAATTACCAAAAATGGCAAGAAATATATATTTACTTCGAAAGTAAACAACGTTCTCGAGATAAAATCATTTAAACATAAGTTCAATGACGACAGCAAAGAATTAGCTCAATTGCACTCAATTTTAAACGATGTTGTACTCAACAATGAAAAAGAAGTTATTTATGCTGTTAAATCAGCAATAGAAGAGAGAGCCTCCAGAGTAATAATATCAATTTTCAATAACATAGCCCGTTTTAGTTATTACGAGGAAATATTTCCAGAAGAAACATGAATTGTCTGGAATTTTGGGAATCATATTATACTTGTTTGTATACTCTAACTTTGTTTGTTAATAATTCTTAATTAAATAATGGTTGGCGATTAAAATCCTTTCAAGATTATTCAGAGTCATGGTTTTTACAATATTTAAATAAATCAAAATAAATATTATCAAGTGTTGTTCCAGCTTTCGGTAAACTTGAAGTTACTGTCTTATTCTTTTATTGTCTTTTACTACATCTGGGTGGATCCATATACATATTTGTTCGGTTTTTGTTAGTAGTGCAAATTTTTTCCGAATATCTCCGGTTCTGGTTGCCTAATCGGGCAATCCAAATATGTTTTGGAAAGGTGACAGTCCGCTCTTTTCATCTGTCAAATTTGGTTTCATTGGCATTAGTTTTGTTTGTGCTATAGACCTGTGAACATGTCGGAGAATAAGGTGCATTTTCGGCACATTTTGCTTTATTACTTCAAGAAAGGCAAGCGAGCTGCGGAGGCCCACCGAAAGATATGCAGCGTATACGGGGACGATGCCTTAACAAAACGTGCCGCTCAGAAATGGTTTGCCAAATTTCGTTCCGGAGATACGAGTCTTGAAGATGGACCCCGCAGCGGTCGGCCCACCGAGGTTGATTCGAATGATATCAAGGCACTGGTTGAGCAAGACCGGACGCTAAAGGTGCGAGAGATTGCGGAGACACTTAAAATAGGTTATGGAACCGTACAAAGGCATTTGCAACAGCTTGGCTACGTGTCCCGCCTCGATGTTTGGGTGCCGCACAAGCTGACCGAGGAGAACCTGGCCAACCGCATATCCATCTGCAATTCACTTCTGAAGCGGCACGAAAGCGACCCGTTTCTCAAACGAATAGTGACTGGCGACGAAAAGTGGGTCATCTATGACAACATAGTGCGCAAGAGATCGTGGGGAACCGCTGGCGAGCCGCCGAATGCCACCCCGAAGGCCGGCCTGCATCCGAAGAAGATTTTGCTATCCATATGGTGGGATCATCGTGGTGTGCTGTTTTACGAGCTGCTTCCTCAGGGAAAAACGATCGATTCGAAGATCTACTGCACGCAGCTAACGAAATTGAATCAAGCATTGCGACAGAAACGTCCAGAACTGATCAATCGCAAAGGTGTCATATTCCACCATGACAACGCCAGACCCCACACCGCAATAATCACTCAGCAAAAATTAGTGCAACTTGGCTGGGATGTTTTGCCTCACCCACCGTATTCACCAGACCTTGCGCCATCCGACTATCACTTGTTCCGGTCCCTGCAAAACTCCCTCAACGGGAAATCGTTCGCTGATCAGACAGCTGTGAAAACGTACCTCGACCGGTTTTTCGCCTCTAAGCCCCAGACCTTCTATGAGAGCGGAATAATGAAATTGTTGGAAAGATGGCAAGAGGTCATCAACAAAAACGGAGAATATATTATTGATTAAAATTCATCCTTTGTATGAAAAAAACTTGTTTAATTTTAGCCTTCAAAAACCGAACGAATATATGGATCCACCCAATATTATTCTTTTATTTTTTTGTTTATTCAGTAAGTAAAAATAACCACATAATTTATCCGAAGATGGAACAATCGGTTCTTAGACATTTAAATAATATTAAATTTTATATAAAAATATGAAGTTGGAAAGAATATGTTTAGTGGCAATTTTATTACTTTAATAAATTGTAGATAATTTTGAAATATAATTTTTACTTAAATATACTCGTAGTAACTTTAAATTCAAAACACATAGACTAAGAAATACGTTTGTTGGAAAAAAGACAAAGAAGAAAATATCGTTTGTTGGTATCTAAACGATTAAAATTTATTTATATTACTTTTATATGTACATAAGTAATTTTTATATAGGGGAAACCAAGGCCTGTTGTCGTACAGGGTTGATTATCAAAATGTTTATAACTCAATTAGCACATAGCAAAAAAATCTTTTTTTGTAACTAATTGCTGATACAATATTAATTTGTTATGTAAAATAGTTTACATCAAAAGCATTGTATATTATTTACAACGACTTTTAAAACTGGTGAATACATTTTTCTTATCATCAATGTTACTGTCTAACAAGTCATTATTAGCGTTATTAATCGAGATATCTTTGTATTCATAAAAAATATCATGTCTTAGACAATTTCTGCTATAATTAATTAATCATTATCCTGAGATGAATGTAATATCTTTTACTAAAAATGTTATGTGGAGTAGATAGACTAAAATGAGAAATTTGAAATATAATAAATATATCTGTAAGTATATTTTCTAAAATATGTATGATTTAAACTCTAAACATATTAAAATTGACTGTCATCTAATGGGAATCAGGTGATAAACGAGATGAGTAAGATATATAGGCCGGTTCTAATTCACTATGTGTTAGTGCGTATATGCGATGTGTACGTATATAGGTGTGAAAGGGACAAGAGAAGGAAAGCGCGTCACAACAGAAGAAACAATTGCAGCGATTAAATAAACAAAATGACACATAATCATTTTCGGATTCGTATCTTATAATTTGTCTGTATTTACATTGAAAGTGAATCCGATTACGATTAAAATGTTTATAATAGATTGCATAATTATTATTAGCAGAGAGAGAATGGAAGTAACTTATTACTTATAACGAAATTACAGTTACAAGTTACTTTTTTGGTAAATTTATTGATAACTGCGTTACTCTTTTTTTTATAACTATAACGGTTACATTTTTTTTATAACAGTAACTTCTTTTACAGTTACTTTTATCGTTTCTTTTACAGTTATTTTGCATACGTTTGGACACGATGGTTCGATTGGATACATGCTATTCATAGCGCTCGAGACTAGAAAGTCCCTCGTCTACTGTGATTGATAATTGTCGGTTTTAAAAAAGCAATAAAAGTTTCTAAGTAACTGTAACTGTAACAAGTTAATTTTAAAAATCGATAACTAGTAACTGTAACTTGTTACTTTTAAAAAGTTACTTTTCACTCTGATTATTAGTATGTTATTAGCATGTTAGTTATTTAATTTTTGAACGGTATATTATTGAAAAAATACACTAATGGTAACGTCGATCTGACAGACCGCTGTCATGTTTCTAATTTTTATAATTTCTTTAATAATGAAGAATGTATGTACATATGTACATTTATACATTTATATGTAAATACGCACCACGTTCATATGTACATATGTACATATGCATGAACGTATGTGTATACGAATGTATGTACATATTATGCGTATTGAGCAAACATTCTTTATTATAAAGAACTTATAAAATTAATAGAAACATGACAGCGATCTATCAGATCGACTGACGTTACCATTGATATATTTTTTTAATAATACTATTTAAAGATTAAATAACTAACATACTAATAACAATTATGCAATCTATTACAAACATTTTGATCGTAATCGAGTCTTTTTTAATGTAAATACAAATTATAAGATACGAATCCGATAATGATTCTATGTCATTTCGTTTATTTGATCCCTACAATTGTTTCTTCTGTCTGTGACGCACTTTCCTCTCTTGTTCCCCTCACATAACCATACACATCGCATATACGTATACGCACTAATACATAGTAAATTAGAACCGGCCTTATATCCCACTGAGATAATACGAAATATAATATACTTAGAAATATATTATACTTCATACAAAATATGTTTTTTTTTATTTTTTATTTAGAAATTAAAGTACAAAAATAAATTACGTATTTTAGGATTAAAATAACTATTTTACTTGTACTAATTCTCTGATTACTATATAGAAATGACGTTAAAATAAAAAATGCATTTTTTATATGTTATTATTATTATCATAATAAAGATGTTACGAATATACCTTACTGTCGATCCTAGACCATGACAAAATCAATCCAAAACACTAATTTTCATATTTTTGTAGTACCATTAGAATTGAATAACTAATTTGTATTTGTAGATGATTTCAAAAGTATTTTTTTAACACTTAAAAGATGTAGGTATATTATAACATATATATTATTTAACGTATACAAATTAGGTATCCATTTTTTCGAAAAAAATCAATAATCAAAAACAGTGATAATTGGTTTCGATCTTTCCTAATTTTATATAGATATGTACATAATTTAAATTGTCACGTTCTAATAAAACTTTTTTTAAATTCTGCGTATGTAATATCGATTTTCTGTAATGATAATTCTTTTTATACTGGAGAATATTTATTATTTATATAAATATATTTAAATGTTTATATAATAAGTAATACTTTTGTTGTTATGTGTAAATAACACTCTTAGCAAATTTATATAGTAATAAGTCACTTGAGTAATAAAATGTAGTAATAAGCCACTTATGTAATAAGATTTTTTTGTTGTATGTCTGTAATTAATAATGCAAAATTAAGAGGAAAATTTGAATTGAAATAAAGTTGCAACAAAAAAATACAATTTACTTTTTTCAGAAGAAGGAAGAATTTAATTGCCATCCTTAACTTCGTGTTTGCATTTTATCCCCGATATTGCGAGATACTTCTCGAAGAGAATTTTTTTTACAAAACTAGATATCTATAAAATGATTAAATGTTAATACAACGTTTAACTATGACATTGAAGTAAGTTTTTATTGGAAAAATTCTTTATATTTTTTTACTTGTGTATATCGAATAAATTTTTGTTTAAATAGAAACATTTTTAGACAGTATTGAATAAGGAATGTTTTTAGGCCATGTGAATACACAACTATATAAGAAATAAATGCTTTTAACAGTAAAGCTAAATCTTAAATGCTTAAATATTCCATGTGAATTTATATATACTGTATGTACTACCAATGTAGTCATTTAAATTAAGCACCGAATTAATTTTTTGGGTTTGAAACACAAATCCTATTAAATTACTAGTAATCATAAATTAAATTGATTAGCAATTTAATAATTTGATGTTTATATAGATATCTTACAATTAGAAAGCTCTTAATAACATTGAATAATATATTAAAATGATCTTATTGCAAAAAATATTACCTCGTCGGATATAGAACCTAGATCTTTTGTATTCCGTGCAAGCGTCCTTATTAATTTTTCGGATTATTTAAAAAACATTACCTTATTTTTTGTCTAAAATTAAGGGTATATATTTTTAATAAGATTTATCCTATATAGTTTGTAAAATTATTTGCAATT